AGACAACATAATGAGGTAAAATTTTAATAGTGTGTCTTTATGTTGATGATTTCATTTTTACTGGCAATGATGAAACAATGTTCGAACAATTTAAGAAGTCTATGATGGTAGAGTTCGACATGACTGACCTTGGAAAAATGAGATATTTCCTTGGTATTGAAGTGATACAAAGTTTTGATGGGATCTTTATCAGTCAGCGAAAGTATGCTCAAGAGGTCTTAGAGAGATTTGACGTGGATCAGTGTAACTCAGTTCTTAATCCTATAGTCCCTGGTTTTAAACTCACAAGGAGTCGAAGCTAATAGCACTGTTTACAAACAAATGGTGGGAAGCCTTATGTATATAATAGCCACACGTCCTGATTTAGTTTGATCAGTAGATAGATGAAGCGTCCAACTGAGTCTCACTTGCAGACAGCAAAAAAGGCTCTAAGGTATGTTAAAAGGACTATTGACTTGGGGATTTTTTACAAGAATGGAGGAATTGATGAGCTTATTGGATATACGGATAGTGACTATGCTGGTGTTCAAGATGATAGAAAGAGCACCTCAGGTTACGTGTTTATAATGAGTTTAGGTGCTGTTTCTTGGTCCTCAAAGAAACAACCAGTTGTTACTTTATCCACCATTGAAGTGGAATTCATGGCAGCAGCATCGAGTATATGCCAAGTTGTATGGTTAAGAAGGATCTTGAAGAGTCTTAATCAGGAGCAGTGTTGTCCAACCTTGGTATATTGTGATAATGTTTCGACGATCAAACTCTCAAAGAATCCTGTGATGCATGGTCGTAGCAAGCATATTGATGCAAGGTTTCATTTTCTTCGAGATTTGGTCAAAAGTGGGTTTTGGAGCTGGTGCAGTGTTCAACTCAAGAACAAATTGTAGATGTCTTAACAAAACCATTGAAGGTTGATGCTTTTCTGAAGATGCGAGGTTTACTGGGTGTTTGCAAGTTTCAGTAGACTGAATATCTGTGGTATTCAGTTTAAGGGAGGATGTTGAAGTTGTTAGGATTTCTAGCCGTTACTACGAGGGTTCCTAGTTTTTAGGGTTGTTAGTCATGTAGGAGTCCAATAATCCCTATACTTGAGGGACAAGCTTGCATTTTCTATTTTTGACATAGTCTTTACCACAATTATAGGACCTGTAAAATCGTGGGCAGTTGCTCTTTCTTCTAGTTCAAGAGTAAAGCTATTTAATAACCATAGTAGTTGTTTTTCATTTAATAAGAATTCTCCCTTTTTAAGTGAGCTTTTGAACCTTGCTTTATAGAAGTTCTTTGCAAATTTCTTGGTTCTAACACAGCTCCTCCATATTGACATGCGCAATCACAAGTGGTCATGTAACAAATAATTAGTTTGGATAATTTAACACCTAATAAGTAGTTGTTATTCGAATAATTCAAAGCTTTCAATTAGATCCACAAGTTTTGGAATGAATTCCGATCGTCTGAAAATCACCCCTTAAGAGCAAGTCCATCGTTGGACCTTGCTCGGGGGATAGGCGAGAGGAAAGAGCCCGAGGCCCGGTGAGTTCGGCTCCAGCGTTGGGCAGCCCGAGTGAGGGTGGGAGCCCGAGGGCCAGGCCCATGAGGGATTGCCAGCCCTTCAGCCTGAGGGGTGTGACGTCAGGTTGACGCCATGCCTGGTGTCGGTCCAGTCGAACCCGTTTCAGTTGAACCAATTTCTTGGGTTCGCAGCAGCTTGCCCAGTCTCACATGCCAATACCCAATCTCTTTAAATCTCTTTACTTTTTGATCTGGGTTTCCAATATTTCACCCTCAAATCATATCTTCTACCATTAAAATATCTATTTTTTTTCACTTTGAATCCACTAACTGAAAAAATCTCATCTCTGTTCTGGTGTTCTTTGAGCCTCCTATGAGTACTTCACTAGGTTCTGAGAGTTGGGTTTTGTCGCAACAAGTCAGTTTCTTCTCTCTCTCTCTTCTCTCATGCATTTTGTGATTGGGATTTGGAATATGCGTTAAATTGTGTATTTTGTTGCTTTATGTTTAAAAAATTTGTGGGATTTGGATGTTGAAGTTGATTTAAAGAAATGGTTTTATATGATGGTACAAATAAAACAAGAAATGATTTTGATGATAAGTTGAGTTCTACCCAGTTCATTGTGTATGTAATTCATGCTGCCTTATGGATCTTGCTTGGATTTTTCTGTGTGCTTTTGGGTGTGAATTTCCAGTTAATAAAGTTTGTTACTTTGATTTTACATGTTTTGAAAGTTCGAGTCTTTGTCGAAATCTATGACTAATAATAGTCGTTTTGGGTAAATGACACGTGGCGCAACGAGAACGATTTAAAATATCTTATCCGAAATTACAAATAAATTTATTTAGTATTATTTTGTGAAAAAAAAAATTAATAATATTTTATTACCTATTGCTAGGGCTATTCAAGTGCATGAGTAAAGATGCAAAAAGCAGTTACTGTTCACTAAAACAGTTACTGTTCACATGATGAATTAAATAGTGAATTGCCTAAAGAGAGGGCTTCAAGGTGGAGTTGCCCCACTATCACGTAAGAAACTTTTGTTACAATAAATAGTGGAGTAAAGGGTTAAAAGCAAGTCATGTCAACATCACGACGGTATTATTACCTTCACTTAAAACGTAGTATTATTTAACCCTTCAATAGTCATGTACATTGTAAGTAAGTTGTACGTGAAGTTTTTTGTCGTATACGTCTTAAGCCTTACTCTTTCAATCCTGAATTTGTGGTTCCTCTGGCGCAACCTTCAAATGACAATAAACCCAATGTACTCCAAAGAAAAAGTCTAGCAACCAACGACTTTTCAATATGCTTTTTAATTTGGATGTATTCCTTAAAACCAGAAGACCTTGTCGGGAAGCAAACTACCATCTTTAATTCTTTATCACCATTTTGTTTGGATAATTAAGCTGCATCAATTTTAATTTTTCGTCATTATTTCTTTTCGTATGCAGTACATATGTGTTGATGGTAGTACGTATACACTACCATCGTAGACTTGCCTTTTGTATAATCTGGTTCATCTTACTTTTATTATGCCAACCCTAAAAATCCTTGGTTGACGGAGACTGAGTCACGGGCTCAAGTCACACGATCTACCGGCCAAGAAAGTCGTTCCAATTATATATAAAAAAAAAAATTTAGTGCAACGATAATGTACATTAAGGGAAGAGGGAATTCGGCTAACCTACATAATGAACAATCTAATTTGGTATTGAATTTGTTATCTGCGAGATTCGAACCTAAAATATTTTACTTACAAGTGAATAAGGACTATGATTCTCTCTCCTTATCTTTCCATCCCCTCCTCTCACTCTCACATTCTCTATTTTGTCTTTCTTATTTTTATAAAAAAATTAATATAAAATGTTGACGTGACCTAACCGTAACCGTTCAAATAAGAGAAGAGTGAATGAGTGGAAAATAAAGAGAGGAGAGAATTCTACTTCTTAAAGAAGAATACCACTAACTATAATACTGAATGACAAGTGGTTCAAAATTTTAAATAATGGTTTTTCTCTTTGTGCAATATCTTTCTCAGATTTGTTGGAATTTGTATTTGGTCACATTTGTGGATGGATCATGGATGCACATGCACTAGGTCATGGGTCACCAAACTAGTGGACCGTCTCCTTATCTGTTTGAATTTTCTATTTGTGGTTGTATTATCTATTTGAAGTATTGTATTTCTAAACTAGCCGGTTCATGTTTGTCTAGTTCTAAGACATATTTGGTTTAAACGCTTGCCAGCATAATATAAATAGTGGTATTATTCATACATTCATTTTTAGTTAGCACATATTATTTTTAATTTTTAATTATTGGATCGAATGAATTGAAGAATATCAATGATCAAAATTAATAAAAATGTGTAAATAAAAAAAAAGGTGTAATATAAATTACTCAGTAGATCTTTAACTACTTATAAGTTATCACGAAAGTTTATGATAATTACTGAGCAGCAGTCTTTATTACCTAGCATTTTCGTTGGAAACAGTTACTTTTCTTTTGGGATAGACAGCAGCAGTAGGCTTTAATTATCTCGTTTGAAAATGTGTTTTTATAATGATTGAAAACATTTTTGAGAAAATATTTTTTGGTTTTAAAAATACTTGACGTGATTTCTTTAAGAATCACATAATTGATGCTTTTTAAATGAAGCAATTGAAGTGTTTTTCTAAAATTAACTTACATTTTTAATAAATATTGGCTTAAATTTTTTTTTTTTTTTCACTTTTAGTTATTTAAAAGCATGAGTCCTAATTTAGGTTGTCGTATTTTCCAACCAAAAGTAAGTATTACCTCAAATTTGTCAAGAACTACATACTAATAATACTACATTCATAGTACCTTATCGATGTCCAACTCTTGAACGGATGTTATGGTTTGTTTTTGGTATAGTTGTCCAAATGAGACTGAAGCAAAATATCAACTTTTCCAAGTCAATCGCTGTTAACATAGGGAGCGATTTGAAAATTCTTCTTAGCTCTTGGGGCAGGGGGAAGCCATTCTTAATTTGATGACTTGGAATATTTGTGGGTTCTGGTTATGCTGCAGAGTTGTGACAAAATCTGGTTTTGTTAGATAATGTTTTGAAGACTTAAGGGATTAGGAAAAGGAGAGAATTTGTCCCATCACAACTTGTTACGATATGAAAAGGATGGACATATGGTTATTTAAAAATGTGTAAACATATTATTGTTTATAATCAATTGGTGAAACTCAAAAATTTCCCGTGTCAATAGATTTGCCTCTAAAAGATGTATAATTAACATTTTTAGGTTTGAGAGATTATATTCACACACCCCAAATTACTTCTCCCACACCCTTTTAATTTTTTACTATTTTTCTATCAAGTGTTAGTGGTGTGTAGAAAATATTAAAAAATTAAAAAGGTGTGAGAGAAGTAATTTGAGGTGTGTGAATATAATCTCTCTTAGGTTTTCAAGAAGTTAGTCAAAATAATAATAATAAAAGAAAAAAAATGATCAATGGTTGCAAGTGAGACATTAACTGATTTCATTATATTTATAGATAATACACTTACAGTCTGCAACTTTTTTTTCAAACAAATACATCAAGGGCAACCAGAAGATGATCGCAACCATAAACTTATTTTTCAAAGCCAAAGTGCCCAAAACCATGGCTACTTTGGGCTGACTAGAAAAAGCATACAAAGAAAAGCCACACAACCTTCGACTGAAGGGTGACACCCAAAATACCATAGAAACATATTAATTTAGTTGTATGCGTCGGGGTGGCCCTTAAGGTAGCTCTCAATAAGCTTGAACAAACCATGAGCCTTCTCTTTGCCAGCCTTGACGTGCTCTTCCTTGATCTCAACATCACCCTTGGTGTGGTAGTGGCTGATACTCTTGATGATGGAACCACTTCCAGATGCCACCAACTTGGTCTCGTAAGAGACCTTCTCAATGGTGTCTGTCAAAGCATCTCCTTCAATCAAAGTGTAGGCGTATGAGTAGTTTGCCTCGTCAACCGAGTCGATCTTGTGCTTCACGTAGCCGTATTGGCTACCTGTGAGACAAATAAATTATTTATTGTTAGACTGTGAATATAAACCGCACATAATCATATATATAGAAATCCACTAGCGCTGTAATAGTTTGACAACATCAACATGTATATGTGTTGATAAAATTTGTTAAGCGAAACCATCTAAATAATTATCAATGCTAATTATCTGACCTTCACCAAAAGTGATCTTTTTGATGGTTCCAGGGCCACCGTCTCCTTCAAGGATCTCAGCATGCTTGATTGCCTGGGGTGCAATCTTGGGGATGAGGTTATCAGCATCGAGGACAAAGGCCTTGAACAATCTTGGTGGTGGAATCTCAGAGGTGTACTCGTTCTCAAATGTGTAGACACCCATGATGAGAAAAAAGAGGGTTGAGAATGAGCAAAAGAAAGCAACTACCAAGGATGATGGTTTTAGTGAAGGTTGAGAGTTTTGTGTTGGAGATGGGTGCTGAGAGGTGGTATTTATAGGAGTAGAGTTTGGGGCATTTTGTCATTTTGATCATTCGATCTCTACAAATTTACAAGGATCTTAAAATGTTTAATAATTTGTGTCACTTGTGTATTGGATATATCTAAGTGACGGTATACACACTCATTTTTACCTCCTACACATCATTGTTCATTGTAGTCATTGGTCTTCTTCAATTAATCCGACCTGACAAACAAAATTATAAGGAATGTGTGAGAATTAAAATTGAGTGCGTAGATAATACTATCTTTAATTAAAATCCATGTTTTGGTCAAATAAAGCTCATTTGAATAGATTAATAAAAAGGTCCAACTGGATTTTGACGGCCGGTGATTGTGTAGCCAAGAAAATAAAGGCTTTCTAGATGTATGTTTCAAATTGATGATCATCCCCAGTACTGGATGTGCATGCACATAGGGTTTCAACTTTCAAGGCTGCTTTTCAGATTCTAGTGACAGTCTGCAGATCTCACTTGATTTAGATGGTAACATTCTAAAAGGTAGGAATGTAAGAGACGATCGATGCTTTTTGAAAATAACATGTTTGGAGCTTTTTAAATCATATAGTTCAGGGGAAAAGGCAACCAAAGGATAAAAGAGCACACATTATTATGACAAAATTGACCAATAATTATAAATGTTAAAACGTTTTTAGTTTGGCTTGGTTAATTATCATCTTGGTAAATTTTGTTTTCACGTTTAATTTGGGAAAGGATGAGGATGGGGTGTTGAAGACTTGAGAGTTCTTTTTATTTCAACAATGGCAACTGGCAGTCAACGTTGCCTATCAATTTCTCTCATTAATTTCCAGTTGCTTTCTCAACAACTTCTTAGTATAAATTAAAAGGAAAATTAATAAAAAGCGCTTGAAAACTTTGAGTTTTAACAATAAGGACAAAATAAAGGATAAAGTGAATAGTACCATAATTGACTTTGTAATGTAAAAATGTGGTTTTTCGTTAAAATGAACAGAACCGGAAACTTTTCGTTAAAATTCTCTAAATTAAATTCTATATCTTGCACTGGAGTAAACTCCTTATTAATTTACTTGGAATTAAATAAATTCGTTACAAACGCTGAATAACTAATGGTACCTGATTATACTTGGGGATGGATATCTACATTGTGACAAAATAATCCAAAGTTTTGATTTGTAAACTCTGTCATATTTATTTATCATGAGATAAATTTTGTGGCTGATAAACTAGTTAACCTTAGTTTATCGTGATCACTAAATTCAATTTGTTTCGATCAAGTGATCTGCTTCTGTTCAACATCTCTTAGTGGCAGACGCTGCTAAGATTTTTTAGAATTAGTGGTATTATATTGTAGTTTTCCTTGATTGGGCGTTTAGGCTTGTTGCTAACAAGTTATAGGCTAATTTATGAAATTTGAGATTAATAAAATAGGGAGATTATATTTACACACACCAATTTCACACCCTTTTAATTTTTTAATATTTTTCTATCAAGTGTTAGTGGTGTGTATAAAATATTAAAAAAATTAAAAAAATGTGAGAGAAGTAATTTGAAGTGTGTGGATATAATCTCTCATAAAATAATGGTAAGAAACCAAAATTCAATCGCTTCATTCATACATGAACTAAATGGTAGGATTAATGGGGTTTGGATCCCATCTGGATCCAAATTGTGGGGATCCTAAGAATCCTCACATATTAGCTATTCATCGTACATTGTGCGGTCATAAATTATTTGAATTTTATTATTTAAAATTAAAGATAAATAATAGTTGACAAAAACTGATCGCATAATATACGATGAACGATTAGAATGTGAAGATCCTTATGATCTCTGTAAAGAGAATCTTGAGAGATCCTCGTCCGGATTAATGGAGCAGTTTACATTACCAAATACCACATACGGACAGCAACAACATGCTTCAAACTTACAGCTGAGCATGTAGTATCTCATGAACGTGGCCAATTAACTTTACTTTATAAAAAAAAACCAATAAAAAAGTTTGCGCAATAATTCTGCCGAAAGCTGGAGGAAGGTCATCATAGAACATGATAACATTTATGCTGACTATTTTATTTTATGTCTTTCTGTAAAAATGAAGAATGGTGTTATCAACACACATATTTTTATTTTTTATGTATTCATCTGGATTTTTTGCCGTTAAATTAAATGAATTGAAAGAGATCAATAGAAAAAAATTAATAAAAATATTTGAGTAAAAAGAGATGCTTGAATAATACTAACCACAGTGAAAACCCCTACCAAAGTACTAGCTAGTCTACTTATATAATAAGTTTCCTAGCAGCTGTTGGAATCAATTAAATATAAGTTTCCTAGCAGCTGTTGGAATCAATTAAAGTATATCGAACATCTTTTATTCCTTACAAATAAATGAATTATTATTTTTGTTTTGTTAAACTATTTCTACCACCCATATATTATCACGAATTCAATGGATTCTGCAAGTTATAGCCTGTACTACGTTCATTATTTGTATTTCAACCAACCAATTAATAATTTTTTTTTGTTGCTCTATCAACTAATCATAGTTGACTAAATAGTTTTATTCGTACCATAAGCTCTTCTGGCGTAATAATATAGATATAAGCTCAGTGAACAATTATTGCAGGTTTGGCAGCCAATAATGTTTTGCCATTCTGTTTCAATCTACTTAAATCTTCATTTCTAATGCAGTGTGTATAATCCGGCAGTTTCAATGAGACGTTTTGAAACACATCTTTCGTTGATAATCTTTTAGCAAGATATAGTAACACGTCAACATGTCAACACTGCAATGATGTTAATGATATCTTTTGTTATCACAAAAGTACTATGGATCACCCCTTTGGTCTTCGAAATTATGCTTGCTTTGTTGGATATGTTAACGTAGGTTATTTATCTGACACACACCAGACACATTTTCAGACGGGTTATGTCTTCATAGTTGCAAACATCGCAATATCTTGTAAGTTAACCAAACAGACATTAGTTGCAACTTCTTTGAACATGCTAAAATTCTCGCCCTTCACAAGCCTACACATGAGTGTTTTTGACTGAGAGCTTTATTGAGCATATTCAAAGCACATCCAGACTTCGTTCTATCATTGATGTTTTCGTTTCGTCGTTGATGTCCTGACAACGATTATGAAGACAATGTCGCTTAGATTGACCGGATCAAGAAATGATACATCAAAGGAGACAATAGCAAACATATTGCGCTGAAGTTTTTCTTCTCCCATTATCAGCAAGAGCATCCGAAAATTAAAGTCAAATTGTTTTGCCGACCTCATTGTCAAAGTCTACTTTTCAGAAGCTTGTTTAAGAAATTACTATGCGTAAACTGTTTGATCTGCAATGCTTGTAGTTCTCAAGGGGAGTTTTGCAAACTCAAGAGGAATATCCTGTAATATATTCGTTTGACCTAAAGTGTATTATTTTCCAATGATCGGGACCATTTGTTCCATTGAGTTTTTGTTGTCTAACGAGGTTTTGAAGAGACGCCAATTATAGGTTGGTCATACCTTTGTGTGCATTTTACTCGCATTCTAGATACGTTAATTTTGACTTATTACATTTACTCTCTTTTTTCCTTACACTATGGATTTTGTCCATATCGGATTTTACTATTTTCAGGTTTTGTGAGATTTACTCCTATATGCAGTTCCCTATTTGAGACTAGCTCGCGTGTTGCCTATAAATAAATGCCTATACGAGACGACTTCATCAACTTCTTCGACTTCCTATCTAAAGATTTGATGCAACTACTACTTGAATATTTACACACTCAAGAAGAAGTGTTGTAATTAATATTTAACATAGGTAGTATTATAGTAGGATTTCTATGTAATACAGATAATACTTTCCTATTTGACCTTATACACTTGAAGAGCAAATTTTTTCTCTCTATTACTTGTATACTTACTACAGAAAAAGGCATTGGTAGAAGAAAAACGCATCTCTAAGCCCTTTTCTCCACCACTGCACCCTTCTATTTCCATGACCCCGCAATAAATAAGAGTTAAAAGTGGCTATAGTTATATACATTTATTCGTTTGAAAGTATATGCAATTCTACAGTAATTCTAGTGAAAATGATAAGAGTAAGTGCATGTACGCCTCTGAATCGAAACATATCTAAGGGTATGTTTCCATCATTTTTTTTCTTCATATGATGTTTGGAAAATAAGAAAAAGCTGTATTTTTCACATGTCCCACCTCATCGCCATAAAGATTAACTAGCCTCCCTGCACGCGCATGCAGAAGGGCCTTTTATGATTATGGTGTTTTACACACGACTTATACAATTTAAATATCCACCTGCTAGATGAAAAAAAAAAACACAAAACTGGTAACACAATTTGAACAAAAAAAGAGTTCTCAATCATGGAAAAACTCAATTTAATGTGAAAAAACTATGTTTTAATTTCAGGGCTTGACAATAGAATATTAGAATTTGCATTTGATTCAAATAAGTAAACTGATAAAGCAAACGGTAACATAATCTATATCGATTTAATTATCCATCTAAAAAGACAGAATTTATATCGATTTAATTATCCTTCCAAAGTGACATTTGAACAAAGAATATTTTTAAGGATCCAAACAGCCATTGAACTAAACAATTAAAAAGTAAAAACAGCAAAGCATTCCTTGAATATATATATATATATATATATATATATATATATATATATATATATATATATATTATAATGTATTTGGTTCTTTATACCTAAAAGAAAAACATTGGCTTTCTTGGTATGCATAGTTGTCGGAAATTTACAATCTAAAGAGACTCAATCTCAGACTCAAAAGATATTTAAGGAAAAGTAATAAGAAAAATAAGTAGTGGTTTTACCTATACTCCATGTGCGGACTCCAATTTCCAATCACAATTCAAAATTCAAGAGGCCTATAAATCAAACATATAGGAAAAGATTAGTAGAAGAAAAAGAAAAACAACTGAAGTC